AACAACAGAGTGCAACCGACATATTAAAAATGAGATAATGGGTAATACCAGAGTCAGGCTATTATTTAGTTTCTTGGATGGTTTGTGCTATCATTTGCATTTGTTTACAGCAAACTGCCTTCTTCAGTGCCTGGTAATGGTTTTTACATAGCATATAAACTCCGCAAAAGGAAGAAAAGTCAACAACATACATCGATGCACGCTAGATTGTGTTATTGCTGCAGAGTTGCTTATCCCTGCAAACTTACCTCCCGTACTTGTCGTTGGGCTCAACGACCACGGGAGGGAGCTTGGAAGCAAAGATCTGGCTCGTCCTGGCAATAGTTCTCAGTGGGGCTGTGCTCTGTCCCTGGATACTAAACACGGTTCTGCACAGGTTGAAAACAGAGGAGAAATGCAAATAAGTTTACATCCCAGGACCTTGGTAGCATGGTGTGAGTATATCTTAAATAGGACTTCAAAGGAAGTTTTGCACTTACAGTTAATTTGTCTATTAGGTGTCTGAAATTGCAAATGTATTTGGAGTCTTTTGTGCATAATTGAGGTCATTTGTGATTTCCTAATCTGTTATTATAGGTAGGTAAAAAGAGCCATCTACTCCAGCTGCAGAAGCTGAAATAAAAATATAATCACAAGAATAAGATTTGGTATGACTCTTCTCCCTCGAGCATCAGAAATTGTTACTAAAAAGAAAAAAAAAAAAAAAAAACATAATCCTTGCCAGCTGAACACTGATGCAAATCATTTGTATAGCTAGCATGTAATTGTGTCATCACCTGCACTGGAACCACCCGGTGTGAGACTGTCAGACGATGCAATTTGTCTTTAAACTTGTCTTAATTTCCAGTCTAACACTAGTGGTGTTCACCTTCACTCCTCCTGTCAGTGCTCCCACACGGAAATTCTCCTCTCCTGTCGGTCTCATCCAGCTTTGCAGACAAGTTATTAATGCTGATGAATGCCAGTTTGTCCGTGGAGCTGCTCTCAGTGAATAATATTTGTGATGTTGCGTTGCTGTAAGTCCAGCTCTCGGTGGGAATGTTAGCAGGATGAGGAGGCACCATGGTAGGATGTTCTTGGCTAGGATTGGGGTAAACTGGAGGGGAAGATGCTGCTGCATAGTGTCACCTTCTGGTATCAAAACAAAATGCTGGTCAGAGAAGTCTTACCCTGCAGTTGGAAGCTAATGGGCAAAACCCACTCAAACACAAAATAAAAAATGCAGGAATTTCCATTTTCCCAGCAACTGCTTACGAGAAATGAGGTTCAGCACAGTGATGTCAGACTATTTAGTTGATGTTTGGCAAGCAAAATTTGATGGAAATGAAAATGTATCATTGTTTATTATATTCAATAAATAGAACGGTTCTGGGGCAGAAGTTTTTAGGAAGGCAGGACATGGCAAGTCAACTATAACGGTTGAGATGTGCTCAAGATATAATGTGACTTGTGAAGTCAGCGAAAAATTATAGTCGTTGTTAAAGGTTTAAAAGCAGGACCAAGTGTGGCTGGACCGTTCCTAACAGACATGTGTCTGAGTCATCCCTGGCTTTTCCAGCCTGCTCCAGTATTTCTCCTGCCTCACAGTTTAAGGGTCTTTTCTAAGACCTAACTCGAAGCTTGCCTGCAATTTCTTTGTTTTTCCCATAGCTTGGGAACACAGCCAATCTGTCCTCCTGCAGTGGCTCTGCATGTATCAGGAGACTACTGTTGTTCCTTCTTTTATTGCTTTTTAAGCCAAAAAACCTCAGTTCTTTCAAGCTTTGGTTTGTTTGGGTTTTTTTTTGAAAATACCTTTTTGGGGCCTATTTTATAAAAAAACTAAAGCAGCTAGTATGTAAACTGGAGCCCCAGCTGAGAGTGGAACCATTCCTTTTGGTGTGACAGCAAGATTGTTGTAGGTACCCTATTCTGGAAAGAAATTTCCCTGTTTTGCAGTATTAGTGCCATGCCTTGGGTTTATTAACAGGCTGACGCTGTTCCCCCCATGTGTCTAGTGCTGTTCGGGGCTTGGGCTGTGCCTGAGACTGCTCCTGGCCACGGCTGGCAAGCAGCCCTGTAGCTCACTGGCCCTGCAGTTGGGAACGCTGTGGCTGGGTGAGAAGTGAACGCGGATGTTCTTCCAGCAGCTCCAGCTGAGGAAGAGGTCTGATATAAATATATGAAAGGCCACCACAGACCAAAGTCCACTGAGGTGTCTCCTAAACCAAATTAAATAAGCATGACAAAGCACATGGTACAGCAGCATGCAGAGCTGAGGCTGCAGTGATGCAGCAAGGGCATGTTGTAGCTCTTCTCTGCCACAGTTTGCTCTCTCAGAGCCTGCTCCTCTCTCAGGAGTAACTTGGGGAGGGACTGAGAAGGTTTGGGGCATCTCCTTGTCCATCCCCAGGGCCTGAAGTGAGTCCTTTTAGCGGACGGTGGCTGAACTCGCTCACTGCCCGGTACCAGTGAGTCACCGTTTTGGGAGTGTAACCACAGCGACTCAGCTTTCCGTCAGACGTCCTGCACGCTACCGCTTCGGGGGACAACGGGGTACAAATCAACAAACCCTAAAGACCGGTATGAAAATTCTGCTTGGAAAAGGGGCAACAGAAACTTCTTGTTTCTTGCCCTGCTCAGTCCGTCCTGTCAAACACCAGAGTGTTTGAGGCTGTAGAAGATGTTGCTGCAAAGCAATAATCACCCAGCCTAACAGGGGGTCGGATGCACCTGGTGGACTGAAGTCCTTCCTGGGAGAGCTGGTGCAATGCAGGATGGTGGTAGCAAGGTCCAGAGTATTAAAAATCAAGGGATGAGCTGGCTGAGCAAACAGCCCTGAAGCAGTACTCGCTCTAACGTGCTGCTGCTCAGACTCTGCCATGATCCGGTGCTGCTGCTCAGGCCCCCTCCCTGCCTGTGGGTACGGCTGCGCTCGCCCTTCGCCTTGTCCATGCTTTCCCACACCGTTTTCACATTATTCTTTGCCCCTGCAGATAAGGAGGGTGTACGTACCTGGCTGGAGGTCGGCACTGACTCAGGCTGGGAGCCAGGATTGCTCCTCCTGAGGTGCTGGTGTTCCCCACGGATGCTGCTTCAGCCAGCCCCAAAGCCACCTCCAGAAGAAGGGAGGAGATGGGTGGGCATAAAATGGGCGTCTCATCTGCTGAGGCGGTGGACGTCCTCTGCTCTCAGCAATAATTCTCACATCCCAAATGGGCTTTGCTTGTCCCACATCTTTTCTGGATGTCCCTTACTCTCCTACCCCCCAAAAAATCCTCATTTACCTTGTTTGCCTCGGCTGGCTCCGCACTGCCTGCATGAACACCTCTTTAGGGTGGCTGCAGGCCCTGGTAAACCCAACACAGTCCCCTTCCCTCATGCCACAGTAGTGAAATAAACCCTTTTTTTTCCCGCTCACTACCCGGCTGGCCAGTGCCCAACTTCTAACAGCATCCATGGAGCCCAGGGATGGTGCCCTTGGCATGTCAGGAAAGTCTGTAGCAGGGAGTCTTTTGGGGTTGGGGAGCTCCTTCATCGCACCCCAGTGCACCCTTCCTGCTGGCCCAGTGCTCCTGCTGGGCTCCCAGCGCCGCCGTGGCAGAGCCGTGCTTGGGATGTGGGACCTGCTCACAGGAGTGCTGCCCTTCTCCTCGACGCCCGTCAATATTTGATGGCAAGAACATTTAAAACTGCAGAGGGAGAATGCTCTCAGCCCCCCCCAGATGGTTTGTGTGTGACACTGCCCTCTTCCTGTGGCACAGAGAGCTCACCCTGGGGCCAAGGGCAGCACTGGAAATTTGGTCCTCAGATGTAGTGCCTGCTTGCTTGGTACAGCCAGCCCCTCCCATCTGCTGGCAGAAGAGGAGCTCAGCTGATTTGTGGAGCAGATTCATGTGGAAAAGCAGATTTTCTTTAACTTTTAGGCTTCTTTTTAGTCCTGGTTAGCAGAAGGCTAGTAAGTTTTTCTGTAGCTAAAAAGCTTTGTGATTTTCCTCTCTGCACCCTAGATGACAAGCTATGTGTATGCCCTGACAGGCTCTGTCCTGCCATCCCCAGGAATATTTGGGACATGTAAGAGGGAACAGTGGCCTGGAGTGACTTCCAGTGGATGTTTCAGTGGAAACTGCGAAAGGAGCAACGAGCAAAATCGCCGCAGCACTTCATGTGGCTTTTTCGGTTTGCTGAGATGTGTTTCTCTCGCTCTGGGTCCCACAGGATGGTGTGTGCTTGTGACTTTTAAAAGCAGCAGTAACAACCCCCTGTGACAGCCCAGCGCCCGCCTTTTGGTGCTACCCAGTGCATTTCTTTCTGCAAGCCGGGGCTCCTGTCCCAACGCTGCCTTTGCCCTAGTGCTCAGTGAGGGGGGCTCAGTGGCCGGAGGGGTCGGGCGGCTCGTCACGGGGGGACAAAGAAGCAGCACCAGTGGAAGCCCCAGGCACCCACCACGCTGCGGGGAGGCTGCACCCGGCAGCCTGGGCTGAGCCCGGGGGGGTTCGAGGGTGGGCAGCCAGCTCTGGCCCGGGGGGGGGAATGAGCCGGTGCGTGGGGACGTGGGCTTTTCAGGTGTGAAACAGGAACCAGGGTGTCTCAAAGGCTTTTGGGACTGCACTGAAGTGCCAAACCAGGGTGCCTGGCACGAGGCGTGGGCTCGCTTTGCCCCCGCACTGCTCGCCACCGGCTGTAAAAGTGCTGTGTTTATCTCAGCCCTATTAATGCCACTCTTGCAGAGCTGCTGCAACAGCCTTCCTCCTGTTAACGCACCCATAATTCACAGGGGGAAAACATCCTTTGATGCAGTGGTGATATTTAAACCAGGGGAGGTATCAGGGGTTTTTTTTTAAAAAAAAAAAACAACTTGTTTTGAAGCATTCTGTTCCTCCGCTCCAGCCTCGGCTTCACATCTGTGACTGCAGCCTTCTCCATCCAGCTGAGAGGGAAATTATGTGTGCAAGAGGAGTCAGGGCTCCCTTCCCAGCACTCTGCTCACATCTCTAGGACTCCCGCGCCTGCCGCACGCTCAGCCACATGCTCAAGGATGCTGCACCTGAAAGTCCAGTTTCTGGATGACTCCCAGAAGATCTTTGTAGTTGATGTAAGTGGGCATCATATTCTTAATGGGTCTTTTGTGCTAATTATTGAAGTCATTGCTCTTCTCAAGGATCGCATGGTCTCCGGTAGCTTTTGGGGTTTCAGCTTTAAAAACCAAACAAACAAACCAACCAAAACAAAACAAGCCTCAAATCCAAAACAAGAGGTTATAGAGCTGATTGTTAAGTGTCTTTCAGCATCGACATGCTCCCGCTCTCCCCTCTTATTGGCATTATTTGTAAAGAAGGAGGAATGGCTTTTATGTATCTGGTGTCATCTTTTGGAAATCAGCTAATATGAAGTGATGTTCTTGATAAGCATCAAGTTCTTTTCTCATTTGTCTGGCTGCCAGTATAAGCATTCAACAAGGAAGAAGAATCTGGGAACAGAATAAAAATAGGACTTTAACCAAATTACCCCTGGTGAGAAACATCTGCATGCATCTCTTCCTGGGCATTCCGCTGAAAAAAAACCCTGACTGGTTTTGAGACTAGCTGAGGAAAAAACTCCCTGTATCTTCTTTTCTGCGGGACAGTGTCCCACAACACACTGTCATTAATAATTCACATTTAATAAATGCTAGTTCTGAATATTGACTGCTGAAATAGATTTTAAATGCTAAGTATTAATATCTAGGGTTGTTAGAGAGATATATGTGTATATAGGTAACTGAAACTAGATGTAAATTATATCTTAACTATGTGTTAGGAGCACATCTTTTTACAAGTATGAATGAGCATTTACTCTTGGTTAGGATTTGATAATCAGAGTAACTAATTAAATTAGATAATTCAAGTAGACCGGTTCTAGCACTTACCTGTAATTCCTCTGGGACCAGAGTGTTTGATATAAATTGTTTTTTCCCAAGTTCTGTTACGTTACTCAGATAGTCCTGTCCTCTGGTTTTATAGCATAGCCTGAGAACTGCTCAGTCTCGGACACGCTGCTCGGTTTCTTTGTGACAGCAGTTTTGCACCGACGAGAACTGTAAAGAAATTCCATCACTTGGTACAGTATGGAAATTGTTTGATTTGGTTTAATTAACGTATCCTAGACCTAGAGTCAGCTTAAAGATGAGACCAGTCATTTAAAAATGCCTTTTTTTTTTCCCATATTGATTAGATCAGGGCATGCTGAGAGACAATTTGAAACATGCTGCTGGCACAATATTGCTGCATTTTTATTTCCATCTCTGCTTTCTTATTTGCCTAAAACACTTACGGCACTCTGCAGGACATGTTATTGCAGCAAACAGCTTCCATTAGAGGAACTCCTGGTCATTTCCTTTTTTAGCACGGAATGGTATCGGAAAACCCTTTTAGGCATTTCATGCATTTGATGCTGTACGGGTACAATGAATGAATAGTTGAATTAGTGACTTCTCCGTTATAAAAGGATCGCTCTGGGCTAAGTTTTGAGCAGCTATTTCAAGCAACACTTCCTAAATCCCTCCTGACTTTGGAAAGCTCTTTTGAATGTGTAGTACTTCAGTCAAATAGGAGGGAAAAGGACAAAAGGGAGAAAACACAGTGGGCCTGATTCCCCCTCTGCCTTGCACTTGGCATATGCATCTCCACCTGCCTCACATGGGGACCACAGCTGCTGGCATGTGCAGCGAGGTCTCTTCTTCCTTCCACCCCTGGATACCTAGAGCTGTGACCTGGCATGTGCTCTCACCGATAAAGTCACTCTTCTCTCTGGAAAGGGTTTAAACAAAGCAGTCCTGAGGCTGGGCAGCCTCTGGAGCCCTCCCAGAGCAGCACAGAAAAGACGAAGCACTTTGCAGCCTGGGCAGACAAAGCCTGGGCTAGTGGGATTTGCTACAGGGCAAGATTCAGCAGTAAGGAAAAAAAATCAAAGACGAGGCAAACCGAACAAGCCCAGAAAAACTAATTGCTGGGGCTGAGCGAAGGGCAAAGTCTCCTGTGATCTCGTGTCCCCTGTGATGGGTAAAGGTGGGAATTCCTTGGCAGGAGGTGTGCGGAGCTGGCTGCACGCAAGCTGGTCCGGCGAGGGCACAGGGAACCTCGGGTCTGGTGGCTTTTGGTGCATGGCATTGCATGCCAGCTGCGGGCAAGCAGAAGGCACCAGCACGGGAGGCATCTGCCAAGGTGCTGGGGAAAGATCTCATCGAACCCCGTGAGCTGTCACTTCCCAGTCCTGGCCAAGCTACGGGGAACACTATAGAAACGTGGCTTTGCCGTTGGGCCACCACGAGTGCTGCCAGACTGTCCTCTGGGGATGGGTATGCGGGTCCCCGTGTGTCGTGTACGTCGCTGTCTGCCTCTGGATGTGCCTCTTGCTTTCTCACCCTGCTTACTGTCCCAGCTGCTTTCAGCAAGGAGAGGAGGGGCAAGCGCAGCCTCTCCGTGCCACCGTCTTCTCCACAGGGCTTTCTGCCCGTGGGTGCTAATGTGGCCCTGCAACACCATCGGAGGCACATTTCGGGTTGGACGTGGGGCGGCCAGCCCCACATGCCCTGCTCCTGACTTGCACGGCGCTCACCTGATGCCGTGCGAGGCCGGTGCTGCCGGAGCACACCCAGCCCCTCCGGCAGCACCGGCTGGGACCCTGGTACCCCACAGACCCCGGGGTGGGACACCCGCAAGCAGCGCTCTGCGAGAGGAAAGGCTCTGCTTTTAAACCAGCCCCTGCACCAGCAGGGCTGTGCCTCCCTGGCGAGCAGTTTTTCCTGGGGAGGGAGCCGCTTGTCTCCCTCGGTGCCTGGGTGCCTGCCCTGGGCTTGGAGGAGAGCGGGTCGCTCCCAGCAGACACGTGGTGGGTAATAACCCGGTAAGAAATGCTTGTCTTTCCTGGCTGCCTGACACGGCTAGAAAATTCTAGCTTGGAACTAAACATTTATAATTGTTTTAATTACCCTTGTGATCTAGTAATTTCGAGGAGAACCGGGAGTGCTGTAGAGCAAATGCTGTTATTACACTATCACTTTTCAGCAGCCCTTCAGCACGGAACCAGCAATTTCATCCCAGGAGAAGCCGTGAAAGGTGGTTATTAGTGTGCATCACTGCCAGCAGCCCGGGTCCCTCCCGTCCCTGTTGGGAGCAGCCGCTGGCATGGGAAGCTGCAGCTTGCCTTCACCTCCATCGCCCGAGATGCTGTAATTTAGCAGCTGTCTCATCTGGTCTCTCCGCTCCAGCTTGCTTTTGCACTAACCCACACTCATTTTTGGTCTGCTTGTCACCAGTTGATAAAGGAGTAGCAGGGTTTTTGCTGGGGTGGGTCACTGCCAGGTTCATTTCTGATGCTTTTGGGAGCAAAGTTGGGGGCCTCCCGGGTTGTGCCCCAGAAGTGTCACACAGCACAGCAAGTCAAGCAAAAACACCCTCCGAGTGTTTCTGTTTACTGGGAACAACTACAGCCTGGCCTCCCTTATCAGCATGTAGTGCCACTTAATTAATATTGCTAAAGTGCACGGATGACCCAGGGCCCAAGGCGCAGGATCTCTGCAGGGTCCTGTTGCTGCTAATTACCATTAACCACAATAGCAGCTCGTCCCCAGCAGCCCGGCTGCCGGCTGTCGGGGCACACGGGCTCGCTGTGCAGGTTTGAGGTGTGGTCCCGTTTGCTTTTAATCAAGCACGTTTGCCATGGCCAGCCCCGGGCCATGGTCACTGGTTTGCCAGGGATAGAGTTGCCCGAACAGGGATGGTTGCAAAAGGTGAGCCAAAAGTAAGAGTTCTTTCCTTTTCCCTTTTTCCTTTTTCCTTTTTCCTTTTCCCTTTTTCCTTTTTCCTTTTTCCTTTTTCCTTTTTAATTTTTCCTTTTCCCCTTTTCCTTTTTCATTTTTAATTTCTCATTTTTCATTTTTCATTTTTCCTTTCCAGTTTCTGTTTCCTTTTACTTTTTCCATTTTTCTTTTTATTTTTCCTTTTTCCATTTTCCTTTTCCTTTTTCCTTTTTCCTTTTTCCTTTTTCCTTTTTCCTTTTTCCTTTTTCCTTTTTCCTTTTTCCTTTTTCCTTTTTAATTTTTCCTTTTTCCTTTTTCCTTTTCCCCTTTTCCTTTTTCATTTTTCATTTCTCATTTTTCATTTTTCCTTTCCAGTTTCTGTTTCCTTTTACTTTTTCCATTTTTCTTTTTATTTTTCCTTTTTCCATTTTCCTTTTCCTTTTTCTTTTTTTCCTTTTCCTTTCCATTTCCATTTCCCTTTCCCTTTTTTCCCTCTCCTTTTTTTATTCCTTAATAAAGGAGAGAAGTGATGGGAAGGAACCTGATTTCCAAGAGCAGAGCTCTCTCTCAGGGTGCTCTCAGGGCTCTCAGCATCTCCTCTCAGGGTGAAGGCAGGGAGCTAAAACTTCTCCCCCATTTCACTGCAATCCCATCACCACTGCTGTCAGCACTGACTAACCTGTTGCTTCTGTGGTGTGCTTGTTTCCCAGCAAAAATCCTGCGGAAAAGAGCTGTTCAACCTCACCTGCAGCCACCTCAACCTTGCGGAGAAGGAGTATTTTGGGCTGGAGTTTCGCAGCCAGGCTGGGAACCATGTGAGTGCAGGTCACGGTGTGGGGCCCCGGTGTTGCACCGTCCCGCATCCTTACAGCAACTGCCTGCATGGCTGGGGGCTTGCTACCACCTCCCTGAAATACCAGATGTGACATTTCAATGGAAACGTTTGCCATGATGCCAAGAAACCCTGGGAAATGAGAGTTACAAGGGGAGCCACAAGCTGGTTGGCAAAGCCCCTGGGGTTTACCTGTAGCCATCGGTGCAGGGCTGCCCAGCGGGACGGCTTGCTGCATTGGCTGAACTGGCCAACATTTTTGTGTTGCATTCTAGCATGCTGCCGCCCATTTTATTCCCCCTGCCTCCTGTCCTGTTTATTCACCCAGTCCTTCATTATCTTATTTCAGGTCTGGTTGGAACCACTAAAACCCATATCAAAGCAAGTCAAAAGTAAGTATTTCAAGAATAAAATTGTTCTTAATCAGTACCAGTGACAGACTAGTGCAGACACATTTGTGCAGTGCTATTGCTTGGGGATGGGGGCTCTGGTTTCCAGCGTTTGCCTGAGCTCATTTTATAGCATGAGGCTGGGCAGGCTTGTTTGCAAAGACACCCCTGTCCATATAAAATCCTGCAGAAACACCACTGCCTTTGCCATCTGGTGTCTCTCTGCACTGTTTCAGGCTTGAGCTGTTGATAACCCGGCAGCTTGGCGGAGGAGCAGGGGCGGCCTCCTTTTCCCCCTCCTTTTTCCCCCTCCTTTTTCCCCTCCTTTTTCCCCCTCCTTTTTCCCCTCCTTTTTCCCCCTCCTTTTTCCCCTCCTTTTTCCCCTCCTTTCCCCTCCTTTCCCCTCTGCAGCCCAGCCCTGCCCAAAGCGGGGTCAGCCGTGTGCCCCCCAGGCTCTGCTGCCCCTCTGCAGCCCCCAGCCCCACCCCGCGCCGCTGCACGGAGGTGCTGCAGAGCCCGACCTGAATTCAGGCTCAGCATCCCCTGACGTGGCCATAACCGATGTTAACACGGTGCTCCTTTCAGCTTGCGGCTGCTTCCACCCCCACAATGAACCAAATAATATTTTCCCTAAATACATGATGACTGGGAGGTGGTTTAGAGCATGAGGCCAAGACCCCAGTATTTGTCATAGGGAGGCTGCAATATGGTGTTTGCACGAATTTCCCTGTAAGGGGAAGGCCTGATAAAGAGCCTCCCCTTTCTGGGTGCGCCACAAGTGGGATTATTTCAGGCACCAATTTCTTTTTCCACGTCCCTTCTCTCCTGTCCCTCCAGGAGCCCCCGAAGCACCCCACGGTGCTGTGGGACACTTGGTGCCTACAAAATTGCCTCCCTCCCTCCCTCCCTCCCTCCACGCTCTTTGCATTGGGCTTGGCCGCTTGCTCTCACTCACCCCACGGAAAAGCTCTGCCCGGGCAGCCTCCGATGGAGATGTTGCACCCCAAGTGCTTGGAGGGCTGAGTTTAATGTGCAGCCCCGCTGATGGCCACGCTCCAGACACGCACCCATGGCACCGCTCCATGGAGCCCCCTCTCCTGGCAGGGGTCTTTGCAATTTAAAGAATTGCTGGGGCATTTTCTCTTTAGTATTATTTAGGTGTGCAACTCCCTATTCACTTCGGGGGAGGGTCTGGGCAGGCTGGTTTGGGGGGACAGGCTGGAGTCCCTGATATTCAGGGCTTCCAGCCCTGATTTCTAAGAGTCCAGAGTAGTTTACTCTGTAAGGAGACAGCATGTATGAAGAGAGTTGTAAATGTTCTCAATAGACACATAAAAGAAAACTTATGAAGATGTTGTGTTTTAAGATCCTAAGGAGGTTCTTTTCAAATTTATGGTGAAATTTTTCCCAGTCGACCCCGGCCATCTGAGAGAAGAGCTGACAAGGTACAGTACTTTCGTTCTATTATTTTCTTACTGCACAGCCCTGTAATTTTGTAACTGCAAAGCATGCATTTAATTCCTAATCTTCATCCACCCAAACCTGTCTGTGAGCAGTTATCCTAAGTAGTGAAAGAGCTCTATACTTTACAAAGCAAAACCCGAGAGAGTATCTTTTCTTGAACCTCTGTTTTTAAACAAAATCCACTTGAAGGATCAGCTGTCCTAAGAGCCTGCAGTTTGTTTTCTGCCAAATGCTTTAGCAGTCGGGCACCGAGTATGACTGCTCAGTCTAGCTCCTGCCTCAAGCTGTGTTCTGAAAGAAGAACTTTATTTTTGAAAGTGACATGGTTAGCTCTTACGTTTTAGAGAAATCGTTGTGAACAGGAACTAAGAATAAAACTAAGACAGCGCTTTTACAGAACGTTAGCCCTGAGAGATGCAAATGCCCTCTGAGGCATAAAGGAATGTTAACTCTGGAACCTATTAATGGGCATTTCCACGGCAGGGGCATACTGGCCATGGTGGTGCCCAGCTGCAGCTTTCTGCAGGGGCTGCACGCTCCTCCCACGACCCCGTGGATCTGCATCACTTGGGCTGAAACACGGGCGAGCGCAGGGAGAGGCACGGGGACAGCCAGCCCCCCTCAGCCCAGCACCCGGCTCTCTGCTGAGCCCCGGCTCCCCCCAGGGCCATGCTCCTGTCCCTCTCCCCAGGTACCTCTTCACCCTCCAGATCAAGAAGGACCTGGCAGCGGGGCGGCTGCCCTGCAGCGACAAGAGCGCGGCGCTGCTCGTCTCCCACCTGCTGCAGTGTAAGGGCAGGCGAGTCCCCGCAGGGACGGTGCCCCTTGCCTGGGGACGGGCTGCTCGAGGGGGCTTTGGTTGTGCAGCCGGGGGTTCCCCCTGCGATGACCCCTCTCAGCCTGACCCCGTGCTCTCCCCCCCCCCGTGTCGCCCGCAGCCGAGCTGGGCGACTTCCACGAGGAGACGGACCAGCAGCACCTGGCCACCCACCGGTACCTGCCCAACCAGGAGTACCTGGACAACAAGATCATGCGCTACCACCGGAGACACGGGTGAGGGCTGCTCTGCACCACGGCCACCCACCCAAAACACCCAACGGGTGACTGTCGACGGGGCCATGAGCATGAGCAGGCAGGGCTGGCAGCAGGTGGGGGGGGGGGTGGTATGTGTGATACCAGTATGTGCATGTCCAAAAAGGCTTTTTTTTTTTTTTTTTTTCATCCCGTTTCAGCAGCTGCCTTCTCACTCTTGTCACTTCCCGATGTGTTTGTGTCTCCAGGGGGAAGACGCCGGCCGAGGCGGACATTCAGCTGCTGGATGTGGCCAGGAAGCTGGAGATGTACGGGATTCGCCCGCACCCCGCCAGCGACGGCGAGGGGATGCAGATCAACCTGGCCGTGACACACATGGGGGTGCTGGTCCTGCGGGTGAGCCTGGGGCTTGGGGCGGGCTGCCAGTGCCCAACCGGGGTGGCTTTTCCCCAGGTACATCCCCTCCAGTTGCGGGGGGGACCCTCCTCCACCCTCCCTGCTCCAAATCCTCCCAAACCATACAAGAGGGAGCGTGCCCCGGCAGACCCCAGGCACAGAGGTGATGCTCCAGGGCATGGCTGAGGGGCTCAGCCCCACCACCGCAATCAGCACCGGCTGCGTGCCACCGTGCCTGCCCTGGCTCTGTTGGCTCTTGTCACGGCAAGCGTGGCCGTGCAGGCACCACAGGTTACACAGCTGTGTCACATGTGTTCACCGTATAATCTTCCAGCGAAAATAGCCACCTCACGTCTGTGCAATTACATAACGCTGTAATCACGGCGTAGCTGCAGAATAAATACAGACTTGTCGCAGCCGGCATGAAGCAGTGCTTGCCTCCCACACTGGCTAATTTCAACCTGAGAACATCTTGTCAGAGCAGAAAAAAAAAAAAAAAACAAACCAAAACCTAACTGCGGGTCTGCTGCTCATAATTAGTGCTGCCAGACCCAGTTATTTATTCAGAGCCATAAACACCCCTCATGCATGATTAGAGCATCTGTGAGCCCATTAAAATCTGGGCTCTTCCAGAAAGCTGACAGGGTCTCGGTGCCACAGAGAGAGTAACTCAATTTTACCTGGTCCTTCCATGACATGAGTGTTATGCAGCCATGTCTAAATTGATCAGTTAAGATAATGAAGGGTCAGGCACACTTGCAGCCTGCTTAAGCTGGGTCTAAAATAATGGGAGTGAGCTGAGCTCTGTTACGCTTCTCAGCAAAGGAGAGGAAGGTCTTACTTCTTGGAGGGGGGCACTGATTCTCCATGAACCCATGTGATGTTCGAGCTGGGACAGATGGGCCACCTCTCTGCCTTGACCCCTGTGAGGTTTGTCTTGGGACCCTGGAGTTTTACAAAGAGCTTCAGTCGGCAGAGTTAAGCCCTGGGCCTCTGTTCTCACTTTTGGGACCAAGTGATGCTCAAAAACCAAATCCTGACAGCCCTCCCCCAGGCCTCGGCAGCAGTGAGAGCCACGTCTCATGTAGTGTCCTACAAGCTCCCACCTTGGCCCATCGTATTTCTGCAATCCTGACTTGCCCCATCCTGCTGTAACCGCTGTGTCCGTCCTTGCAGGGTAACACAAAGATCAACACGTTCAACTGGTCCAAAATTCGCAAACTAAGTTTCAAGAGGAAGCATTTTCTCATCAAGCTCCATGCAAACATCTCTGTAAGTACTGTGCTGCAGGCCGCTGCCGGGCTCGGGAGGAGGCAGCTGTGGACAGAGGATCAGCCACGAGAAGTCCCCGCATTTGAATAAAATCCATTTCTGCTGCTCCTGGGTGATTCTCCTTCCCCTCCTCGAGCACAGCGTGTGCCACCCTCATGTCCCCAGAGGCCAGAGCCACCAGCAGCACAGCGTGACCCTCTGAGAGGTCAGGAGGCCAAATGGCTGATCCTGGCCCTGCTCCCCTGACACCGGCTTGCTTGTCTCCGGCTACGCAGGCGCTGTGCAAGGACACGCTGGAGTTCACCATGGCGAGCCGGGATGCCTGCAAGGCTTTCTGGAAGATGTGTGTGGAGTACCATGCCTTCTTCAGGCTGTCTGAAGAGCCCAAGTCAAAGCCCAAAGCCCTTCTGTGCAGCAAAGGCTCCAGTTTCCGCTACAGGTAAAGTCCAGGGGTTAAACTGAACACAGGAGGCCAGGAGGGGTGTGGGGATGGCCCAGAGCCTCCCGTTTATGTCAGACCTGGCTGGAGGCGAGGAGGTGATGCTCAAGAGCTGCTTTTCCTGGTGAGACCACTGCCTCAGTCCTGCTGCATCCCCTCAGCTCCCCTGGGCTGGGAGGGATGCCCCAGGGCTGGGGCTGAGGGTGCTGCTCACACCTCTCCCCCCTTGCTGCAGCGGGAGGACGCAGCGGCAGCTGCTGGAGCACGGGAGGAAGGTGAAGATGAAGAGCCTGCCCTTCGAGAGGTACCGGGGGGCATGCCTGGGCTGGGGGGGGGGGACACACACACCACACACACACACACACACACACACACACACACAGACCCCCACCCCACTGCCCACGTACCCAGCCATGCTTTTGGCCTTGCAGGAAGCACTACACGTCCCGCTATGCTGAGAGGCAGTGCCGCTCCTCTCCGGACCTCCTGACAGATGTCTCCAAGCAGGTATTGCCCCTCGGCATCGGAGAGAGGTAGTGCTGGGGTGGAGCGGAGCCGGGGGGGGGGGGGGGGGGGGTGTCTTGGCATTGTGTCCCCAGCTGGCAAAGCTCAGCCGGAGGCCAAGCCAGCCCCTCGGCTCTGCAGGCTCACTGCTGGCCCTGCTTTGCCCCCCTGCCCGGGTGGGGGTCTGGGCACCCACCCACCCACCCTCTGCCCCTGCTCAGGTGGAGGAGCTGCGCCTGGCCTACGGCAGCCGGGGTGCCTACCATGCCAACGGGGCGCATGCCTCCGAGCCCACGCTGGACAGCCGGCGCCGGAGCTCCGCCGTGGAGGTGACGTTCGCCGCCGAGCTGGAGCGCTCCAAGCCCGAAGCGTCCCCCTCCTTCCTGCCCCACTCCAAAAGCTCGTCCGCTTTCCCCCTGCTCTACGCCGAGCTGGAGCTGGAGCGAGCATGGGAGCCCGCTGACCTCTACAGCACCCGGAACCCCTTGACCTCCTTTCGGCCCCACCACCAGTTCACCGGGAACAGCAAAAGCACCTCGGTGGGCAACATGCGGGAGGTGAGCGCCCGGACGCTGGTTTACACAGACGTGCCGTGTCCCCCAGCCGCGGCCACCCCGGCCCTGCAGGGCCTCTTCTACCCGGACAGGCCCCCGCAGCCCCCATGCCGTGCGCTGGTGGCTGCCGAGGACACAGCCAGCGGGTGCAGCCCCGCAGCTGCAAAACCCCTCCGGCGGAGCCCAAGCGGGACCCGGGCCGGGGAGTTTAATCGTGAGGCAGCCGAGCCAAGCGTGGCCCCAGCAGCAGAGAACAGGTCGCTGGCGCGTTCCTTTGATTATGGCCTGCAGGAGCAGCCTCCCAAGCGTTCCTGGAGCCAGTCGGACATGAAAACCATCCGCTTCCCCCACGGCTCTGAGTTCAGGCCCCTGGGGCCGTGTCCCGCGCTGAGCAGCCGGCGGGTGGGCGCCTTTCGGCACGTGCCAGCCCCGCGCTGCTCCGCCGAGCGCTACGTGGGCAGCAGCACCGAGTCCAGCGACTCCGACTCCGACCTCCTGGCCACCGACTACTGCTCCCTGTACGGCCGGGTGCTGCGGGCGCCCACGGCCCGGGTGCGGCTGTCCTCTGGCAGCCTCCAGCTGGACGAAGAGGATGAGGAGGTGTCCTTTGCCACCGGCGCCGCTGAAGAGAGGACTTCGAGGGGGGCCTCCAGGTATTTCACCTAGGTGCCTGACACTTGCTGGAGGGGAGCAGAGGCAGCCAGTGCTGACCTGGGGCCGCAGAAAGGCGACAATCTTGCTTGCAGGGCTGCTTACTGCTCGCAAAACACTGACGGGTTTGTGTTGTGAGTGCTCTTAGCTGTAGAGGATGTGTTAGTGGACAACAAGGCAGCGTTCGGAAGCACCCATCCCCTGCGCCACGCTTGGAAGCTGGCACATCTCTGCCACCACGCGCGGGGCTCCTACTCCAACCGGAGGGGCCAGGGCTCTCCCAAAGTCCTACAAAAACTCTGTGTCCTGCCCAAGCTGGTGGCTGCTGGCCACGCTTGGAGCTCAGCTGCTGGAGACTTCACCAGGAGGAGGGAGAAAAAGCAAAAAAACCCGTCTGTTTCTTTTCACAGCTGCAGGGAAGCACACTGGTGGGAAGGGTGTTTGAGGCCCATTTGGAGAGGAGTAGGATGGCCGGAGGAGGCTGGTCCTGGAGCTGATCCCCTTGGACAGGGGCACGGCGGCCCAGCATGGAGCCCGTCTCTTCCATTCTGCTTCTCCTCCCTCCAACGCTGCAGGGAGCGCCCGGCCCCCGAGGACAAAGGTTGGATGTTTGGGGTGCTCCTTGCAGAGCTTGGAGCCACAAAGGAAGCAACTGCTCTGTCTCCTCCCTGGCCAGTTTAGAGGATTATCCTTCCGTAAGAAACATCTCAGCAGTGCTTGTAAATCATTTAGCAGCAGCCCACGGTGAGCTCGGGGAAGTGGGTTAATGGTATTATATAGCTCTGCTTTTCTGAGGCCCATAAGCTGTCATTTTCTGACAGCACCTCCACAGCACTGGTACCTCAGTACCCTGCTTATATCTGCGGGAGCAAGGCATGTAAGGGGGTCCTTTGCTCCCCAAAATCAGGACTCAAGCAGAATGGTGAAAAAACAGCTCAAAAGAGGGAAGAAACAGGCAGCTGGTGCTCATCCTTGGCGTTAGAAGTCTGCTGTAACCATGGTGCTTTGAAACTTTCCTGTTTGCTACATGAGTGTAATGTTATTTTTACCAGGGCTGTTTCTAGCTATAAAGAAGGAGCAGGAGGTGGCACTGCTCACCATTCATGGGGCAGCAGGAGGGAGATTCCCGATTTATCCACTGCTTCCTCGAAGTGAAAAGGTACTAAGATACTTCTTGGAAGTATTTTTATTACAAAAACTTATTATTACCCTAAGCCTACATGAAATCTACTCAGAAAACTGGAGAATGATGACACCTCTATAACATTTTAGGGGAGGATCTTGTTACTTTTTTTTTAAGAACCACCAGGTATCTGTAGGATGTGGTTGTGAAGAGAGAGACAGCCCAGTAAATCCAGAGTTGAGAAACCACTGCGACCTGCTGGAAAGGATTTCAGAAACAAGGAGGTTGGGACAAAGACAGAAAGTAGGTTAAAATATAAAAAGAACTGGGCTTATAGGTACTTCTCACTCTGCGCCTTGCTGTCCTTTGTTTTAGAGGCTGGACAATAAAAATCAGTTGTTCACACCAGAGTTTCCGGTTCCTCCTTCCACCCTGGGAAATTGGCACCCCCAGCCCACCTCCCCGCTCCCAGGCAGCCCACGCTGCCCCACGGAGCTGCCTGGCTGCTTTCCCTCCCCCACAGCTGCTTGCTGGCTCCTTCCGTGCCTTCACTGTTTCAGTGACTGGGGACGTTCACCGAGATAAAAGCATTAGGTTGGAGATGAGCTTTAAGATCATCGAGTCCAACGGTGAACCTAGGACTGCCAAGTCCACCAACTAAACCACGTCCCGAAGCACCGCATCCCTGAATGCTGCTGAAAACAATCACATTCTTGGTTGGCTGCCCAAAGGAATGCATTAGACCAACAAGAGAGAACATGGCAAGGGTTGCTTTTGCTCTTGGTTACCCTGTGCTGAATAAGCTGTGAACTACAGGGACGCCACGTGCTGCTCTGGCACGTGTTCGATTACAAAAAAGGGATAATCTTTCTAGTTAGAGTTGTTTCTTCCCTTTCCCAAAGCTCTGTACCCTGAGAAGAGCAAGGACCGCCACTCCATACAGCATGTGCATGGCAGTCCATATGCACAATTTGGTAGAGGAGGGGGGGGGGAAATACAGACTGCGTGCAGAACTCTCAGAGAAGTTTTATACCTTAAGCTCACAGGCAAACCTACAATCACTGTTTGCTCCTGGAAACAAGTGGAGACACGGGTAAAGGCTGGCCCAGGTCAGCTTTACTTTGAGCACGTCCCCAGACACACACAGTCCCAGCAAGAGGGATCCATGTACAGCCTCACTGCCCAAACCTCCGGGAGCCACCAGCTCTGGCATTCAGGACTATGCTAGGGAAACAGCGCTGAGAAGGAGAAACGAGGACTTGGGAACTATTTTGGGATTTTTCCATTGACTAGAGAGCACTGGGGCACAGCATGTGCACTGTGCCTTCGCACTTCCTACACATTGGTCAACAATAGCAGAGGAACAAAGAAGCTCGTAAGTGACAGAAATTAAGATCTTCGAGCTAAAGTCATTGCATAAACTAGCTTTCTTGGGGCTGACTAAAATAGACGAACAATCCCAGTAAACAGTGGCTCACGTCAAAGAACAACTGAAATAACCCTTGAGCAAGCCCTTTCCCATGGTCCCTGCTCAGCTCTGCTCCTGCAGGCGAGGTGAGAACATCTCTTTAAGTGCCTGTGTTTCACTAGGGAAGAAATGTGGATGCAGAGAGGAGATTTGGTCCGTGGCCGGTGAACTTTTAGAGCTCTGTTTTAGAGAACACAAGCAAGGATTACTGAAAGGGGAGGAGGGCCCGGAGCATTACAGTGTCAAAACATTAAGCTGCTCAGTGCATTCAGACTGAAGAAATTGGGGTTCATAGAAAACATACCACTTACAGATAAAGCTAATCTTGAAATTCAGATGCACGACATCCAGTAGCTTTTTAGGTAGCGTTGTACAGGTTAGGATACAAAAAGAAGCAAAAGGTACACAGTATACAAAGAACTTCAGGTTGGAGAAACACTAAAAGACAGGTGTCAGTGTATTTACCTCATCTCTGCATTAAGTGTTACTTCATTTATTGGAAAAATGTGAAATAAGACAAGCCAACATAAATACCACTAAAACGTTGCAAAGAGGAAAATAATTTTATTCCAGTGTTAAGTCATAAAACAGTGTGATAAAAATCAGACCTTTAACAATTGCTAAACCTTGTGCAAACACATTAAGAACCTAAGTACTTTCCTATTCAGCTACAGACATTCGATTGAATGCAAGACCAGATGTTAAGGATACTACATGCTTACCGTACAGAAGCGTACTAGAGGAGTCGCAGACCAAGGACTTTAAGAGTGGTTACAATGATAAAGGACTCATCTACCCAAGAACAAATACATTTCTCTATTCTGGATTCAGACTACTTCAATAAGACTACTTCAGTATCAATTTTTCTCAATCTACAGTGGGAAGCCTAGCAAACCAAACAAGCAAGAAGATGGTTCCTGCATGAATATTTTGATATATCTTTCCATTAGCTATCTGCCAGCAACAGAATACTGCTGATTAAGTTACACAGTTCATCAATAACTAACACATGGTGGGGAAAAAAAGACAACTGTTCTCAGGAAACCAGTAATACAGACATCCATTCTTAAGAGTTGTAGTCTTACGATGCACAGAGTTTAGGCGCAGAAATGCCACAGGCAGTGCAAAAAAACCTTCTTGAATGGACTGTGCTATAAAAGAACGAGGCTGTATTATATAAGACGTGGATGAGTTTTTCCCCACGCTGCCCTATGAGGTAGGTACACATCCCACCCATTTCACAGGAAAAGAAGAGGCACCGTAGTTCAGCAACTTGTTACAGTCAGATCACCAACAGGACAGGCTCCGATTCCCCAGATAATTCACTAACCCTACCTACCCAGAATCATTTATAGAGTTGCATAGATTAAAGACCCCGTGTCAACAGGGGGTAGAGCCACCAGTTACAAAATTCAGGAGGAATTCCCATCACCTCTCCCCTGGCACTCCCACATAAAAAAGAACTTCCAGGGAAGTGACATGGAAGTAAAAGCAGGATTCTAATTCTGCAAAATCTGTACAGAGCTCCTTAAAATGAGATTTGGGCTGAGACTGCTGAAGTGAAAGCCGAGGTGAGCGTGGCACAGGGCTTTTTGTACCTTCACTCCACAACGCTGAGTTCACCACGGAGTCAGAGTGCTCTGACATCTCTACCGTGCTGTCACCGGCCGCGCACGCTCGCCTGAGCACACAGATCCTGAAGCCTCCTCTCTAGGGATGGAATCAAACTGATCCCCGGGGCTGCTCCATCCATCCCCTGCGGCGTAGCAGCTGGCAGGTGTCCTCTGGACAAGAACGGGGTGGGGGGGGACACCCAAACCTTTTCAAAGCAACCATGCAACTCTGTGCAAGGAACCCCCTTTCTTGAAGCAAACACAAGTTTGTAAGAGGTATATCCATACCTCTGCACATCTACTAACATCCAAAATAAAATGCACAACAGAACAAGCTCATGAAAGTTTACAGAACTTAAATATTTATTTTTAAACCATTTAAAACCCCCCAAAACATTGAAATAAGCTTCATCTATAAACAGATTTACAAGACTAACAACTACAGAAGCTAGAAGAGCACTACAATTTGTTTCTGTGATGCAGTTATTTTGTAAAGCTTCAGATCAACTGTATTTACAACTTTTGCTGCTTTTACATTTATAAAAATATTTATTTAATCCATAACATTATTGTTTTCAAAAACTATTTCCAGACTTTTTTCTCAGATATAAATTCTAATTGAATTTCAGTTATATAGCAGATGAAAGTTTTAAACAGAAACATTTTTTTTAAAATTAAAACAAGGAGTTAAAAGTAATTTTTTTACAGTGTAGGCACCATTGAAAATAATTGTCCTTGGCATATCTAACCAACCATCTCTCACAAGTGTCCTTTATATAAAAATGATGTAATGGCAACATTTGACTAAAAATGCAGTATTTACTTGCACACCATTACTTTTTCAATATTTGGCAGATATATTTCAGATTCTTTAAAATGACTTTTGTGCAAAAACAAAATGTGCAGGTCTGAACCATAAAATAAACACACCCAGCCTTTATCAAAAATAAATTTACACCAACAGTTCCACAGCTAAGTACTGAAAAAACAATCCCAGTTCAAAACTTCAGCATAATATACATACTGGGTTGAAAAAGGGAAAAAAAAAAACAAAACAAAAAACAAAATAGAAGAGAGGATATTACCCATCTAGCAGTACCATAAATATGTAACTGAAAGCAACTTTATAGTCTTACCTACTTTTTATGAAAAAAAAAAAAAAAAATTTCACTCTGTACTGCACAGTACTACCTTTTTGTGAAGGAATATCTATAACTCAGTTATTTGCATATTAACTGCTAAATACATATTTAAAATACACTTTCAGAAAATTATAAACAAATTATGTTGATGTACTGTATTTAATGTATTTAAGAACAAAACTGTGTATAAATATCTTACAGGAGAAACAACACCACCACACGGAACGCTGGTGTTACACTTATACCTGCTTGTGAGGTATGTATCATGCGACGCTCGGCTTCTCTGGCTCCCTTCCACCCAGGCATGTATACTCAGAGGAAAAAAATTAAATTAAGTTAAATTGGACTTCAGGTTTTGTCCATTATTGCCAAAAGCCCCACCCCCTCAACTGTATTGCTCTAAATTTTCTTACCATGATGATATAAGATTGAACTACTACTTCAAAACCTGTTCTAAAAGGTAATACATATACTGTACATCAGGATATACCTGTTGCTACATATCACCTGCAAACTATTGACATATTGCTCTCAAATATATTTAATCATAGAGCTGCCTAAAATACTGTACCAATTTAGAATTATAATAGATACTGTTGCAGGTTTCTTTTTCAGGGCACGATAACTATATGCTGGTTGAAGCAGGTGCTACAGCAATACCCTTGCCACTACATTACATGTTTTGAATACGCTTGTGAAAAAGCTATTTTCTCTGAAGCTTGTTAGTGATTTACAAAAGTTTAACTCATGAATACAAAAGACCTGTACATCCCCATGTACAGGAACAAAATAGCATCAAAACATACTGTACTTGCACTTTCTATTAACTAAAGTAATGGTTATTTCTAAAAGCAAAACTGCACCTCAACATTTATCAGATTAAACAGGTGAAACTACAATATTAAAAGTTGTTCTTTACAAAATAATTTCCTGAAAATATAAAACCATGTGCACTGCCACAAAATAGTTGAGTAGGTTCTTTCAAATCCTCAATCACCATCAATATGTTGCAAAGATCCAAAAGGCACAAGGAGCTCATGAGCTAAGCACTGCCAAGCTTG